CTGAAAAACAATCGAAATACATAGCCTTTTTGGATATATATATATATATATATATATATATATATATAGACAGAATATTTAGACAATAAAAATAACGTTTGATTTAAATGTAACATTATGTTACAGCATGAGAATCAATTATCATTTTTAAGTTTGAACATACTATTATACAGATAGTACAAAATTTATCCCATTGGCATATACGATAATGAAATTCTGTTGCATCCGTATCAATCCGTGATGAAAATTAAATTCATATCAATAAATCACTGCAAATTAAAAACGAAATTACTTTCTGCTACTCATGAGTAACTTGAATTTAACTGAATTTCTAGAACTTTTGGTAAGTCGTAACCTGTACAACAAGCGATTTAAGACTATGGTGGATGCTGATCAATAACGTTGGATGATGGTAGACAGAAATACTTTGGAAAAGGAAATTAGAAGGCTTAGTTTATTTGGAAAATGTGACATATTTGTGCTATACATTTCGAACAATCTGTTCAAGGTTTTATTTTTTGGGAATTTTTAATACCAGATAGATGACTATTAGACCCACCTGACTACAGTTTGTTGTGATAAATATGCAGTAGGCTTAATGACCGAATTTATTATCATGATTATTATTTCTCCCTTGGGTCCTCAGTGGAACATTGGGCTTCAGTAGCATATCTCCATTCTACTCTCTCCTCTGCAGTCTTTCGAACCTCGCTCCACGACTGCCCATAAGCTTTCATTTCTTCGTCACATGATCTCCATGTCACCCTCACCTCGGACTCCAAACTAGTCGTTTCCCCTTTCGATTCCACTTGACGGCCTGGCGCGCCATGTGCCCAGTTGACCTTCTCAGTGTATGCCCAGTCCAATCCATCTCCACTTTCTTCCGATGCATATTGGTGGGTGATAGGTTCTTACTTCGTTGGTTCCTTCTCAGAGTTCCTTCTTGCTTATTCTTTCTCGCCTTCTCATCTGATCTTCGGTATCAAGCCAGTATAGGCGACAGCTGTTGATGAATGTCTGTAGTTTGTTGGGAATGCTTTTCGTGACACGACAAGTTTCTGAAGCACTGACTTGACTGAATTGGTGTTGAAAATCCGGATCTTCTTCACGCTTTATCCTGAGTGGAGTGCAGTAGATCCCCACACTGATTTCGAATTAATGAAGGATGGTCTGTCTTGCTTTTCCGATCCTGGCTGCTTTGACATCCTCGTCTGTGCCTCTGCCACCACCTGTAGTTGAAACAATGCTGCCTAGGTAGGGTAGGTGGGTAGTTGAAAGAGACAACTTCCTTTATGTTTCTCCCGTTAATGGTGATTGGTACCTCTTGTTGTTCATGCTGTTGTTGTTGTTGTTGTTCGTTGGGTATCTTCATCACCTTCGTCTTCTCTACATTCACTTTTAGTTCCGAATTCCTTGACTGCCCTACCTCGCCTCTTCTGTCAACTTGTTACTTTTCGCCTGTAGATCTTCGAGTTTGTGCCACATTATACATTATATATAAATCATCATCGGCGGCGGCGAAATCCAAATCTTCTCCTGGGGTCTTTTTATCGGTCCAACCAGCGTGTGTCTAACTTCTCACAGCTACTCACGGTTTGCTGCATGATCCAGTCCACCACAATCAAGTTGATCATGGGTAATAGTAGGCGACAACCTTGTTGAACTCCTGTCTTCACTTCAAAGGTGTCACTGAGCTTTCGATTGTAGATCACTTGGCATGCAGCATCATATAGCATATAGCTGTTGAATGAGGTTGATAAAGATTTGCGGCACTTTGTAGTGTTGAAGCAACTGCCCAATTACTTGTCGGTCGACGCTGTCAAAGGCCTTTCAAAGTCGATGAAGTTGAGATAAGGAGTTGACTGCTATTCTATACTCTGTTCTATGATGATGCATAGCGTAGCATTGCGATTTGATCCGCACATGATTTGTTATTCCTGAAGCTAGCCTGTTCTGGTCATAATTTTGAATCCAGTGCTCCCTTAACCTTCTAATTTAGTGAAACAATATAACTCACCGGAAATCCTACTGATTTCAGGCAATAAGGTAAAGCTTCATAACGGATAATCATTCAAAGGGATAAAAACGAATGATGTTTGTCATTGATATCTTTTATTATCATATCAAGTTCCAGAATTAGCGACGGAAGCCATTCTCGGTGTCTATAGCAAGTGACTGATTTAAAGATCTTTGTTTCCTTTCGTTAACATATACTGAAAACTCCAGAGAGATAAAAACAATGGGAAAATCAAGTTTTCTAAACATCCTCACAGAAAACTTGAGTGTACTAGACACACCTTTTACCACTGCTCAATGTAAGATGCTACTCATGCTCAAGTTAGGAATCAGAGGTGGGATGATGAAGTATCATGAGGAGCTGCATCATCATCAATAGGTGACTTGCAAGTGAAATAACAGCAGACATATAACAGACCATGTTTTGCATTCACCAAACCTTGACAACTCTGACACCGACGAGACATGCAACTGTCTATCTATGAGCGAATGTACTGTACATAACCTTAATTCTTCTTAATTTACACATGTGCAGTATAGCAACTAGTGATAAAAAAAGAACAGAAAGTTACAGGTTTTCGACCATTCTTTCTCTCTACAACATCGCTTATAAGTGATATAAGCAACACTGAGGTTACACATACACTAATTATCAAGGGAGGTGAGTCAATTGGTGAAGTTCCGAAGCTACTCTGATCGAGACGTGTATAACGCATGCCAAATCAATAATTCCCCTGCATGTGATGTTAGCTGGAGTAGGACTAGGTCAGAAAGAAGTTAAGGATGGTCAGATAATGACTTAGCTTCAATTCATGAGGTTGATGACAGATGAAGTGTATGTTAATTTAAAATCACATGGACCAATGGTTGGAAGTCCTGATTAGTATAGATCAAAATTGACCATAGTTGTACAAATGCATTCGCCGATCTCTCTTCTTTCTTCTTTTGTTTACGTTTCACTTATGCAATTTCTTATTGATTTGCCTGTAAAGTGTAACATATTGAACAACTACATTCGTATACGATGTCAAACAAGTCTGTATTTGTCGAGTTGCGGGACAACTATCTACAACTTTCAGGATCATGACTTCAATTGAAGCCTCCCGTAATTGCAATGGAAAGTAACGAAATTACAGATTAACAAACTCGATAATGAGACCGTACGTTTACCAATAAAACTGGATGGTAAAATCATACCATATTGTGCACTCAATAAAGATAGACATTGTGAATAAAACAGTAGTTCAAATCACAGTAATGACAGTTGTCTCGAAACATGAAGATTCACTGTTAGTCAGAATTCATGTGAGATTGAGGGAAGGTGATACTGAGGAATCTTGGAAGTAAATCAATGAATAGTTTTTGACTTTCAATGAATTTCCATTTAAGTCTTACATATATATCTTATCAAAAAGAAAATAATCATTATAAAGTAGTTCGAAGTAGTATTCATCATGGACTGACATCAGTTGGGGAACCATTGAAAATCTGGAAGCACTGGACAGCTGTTTCATCCTAGTATAGGACTCCTCAGCAGTATGCACCCACGACCCGACTAAGGATAGAACTCAGGACTTGCTTGGTGACTTGCTTCCAGATGGATATCACGAAGCTCTAATGAGAAGCCGTGACCTGTAGGGTCAACCAGTCGTAAGTGAATAAGATGCTAACTTAAGACCTTGGGTGATAGTCGCGCTGTGTCGTGAATTGACAGAAGTTATAAGTTCTTAATTCTACCATCCAATAATCGACTATGTATGTCATACAAAAAAAATATATTTAAGGGGATTGGCAATGAATTATAAGACTCTGATTTGATTCTATAAACAGAATTATAGAATTCCTTTTTTTGTTGAACAGATAAAATGTAGTGACACAAATTGTTGTACATAGGGAATAGCATAAGATAGAACATACAGTACATCTAAAACATTAATTTAGGATTTGCTGTCCGTTGGGATAAAACTCTTTTTGTCATCACTAAGAGAACAATGAAACCATAGAAGGGTAGACAAGCGTATGTAAATAATATCAAAATAATAAAGTACGTAGAACATCTATGACAAAGCCAATTAGATTCATGCATAAAATAACACACTAATAATAATATTACTCATGGGCTAAACCATATGATGAAATAAACGTTTAATGACTACTTTTTGAAATGAAACGATCAGGTTAGGTACATTCACTAACTTGAAGTGAATCTTAAAGATCATCCTAGCAATTACTTAAATAACCAAGTTATCATACCTCACAGAGGTCTACCTCTCAAATCGACTTCAGGATACGTAATTAATTATTTCATAGTTGGATATAGTAGCCTTTAAAATAACTTTTGATTAGGTGATCTTCGATTGAAATGACCCCCATCCCCCTTAAGTAGGTGACGAGGCGTAACTGTAATGCTGATACTATGATAATAGGAGTAGCAGTCTGTACACCAACTAACCGTATCTCAACAATAAAAGTTATGAAACGTGTTGACGATATCCCCTAGAATCAGACACTCATTGCAACTGATGTTGGAATGGCTGAACTCACATTGGTTGTTAACTACATGTGGATTTAGTGTTGTTAAGGTAATTTAGAAATGTATATATTCAGCATTTCTGTCAACTGTATTGACTGTTGTTGAGACAGTAAAAAGCTCTCCGCCAACGGTCTGTCTTCTCTTCTTGTCTTCGTGAGTCGATGGTATTATGATGGTGGTGGTCAACGTTCTGATTTGCATTAGAGTCGATTCGTTTCTACGTTAGGTTCGCACTGTTAATAGTCAGCTAGGCTCGTATCGCTAGTAGACTGTTAGGTTGCACTACCGGTCATAGCAAGTTGAAATGGTATCCATTTTTTAGCTGAAATTTTCAAAGGTTCCTACTGCTGTTTAGAAAGATTTAAAAATATAACCTGAGTCTAGTTAAAGGCAAGATCAAGAGCTTTTTAGATGAGGTCCATGTGTCGACCATGACAGATCACTTTGATTT